AAGGTTTCTTTACGCTCACAGGTTATAGTGTCCTTCGCGCATAACCAAGAGATAGGGAGGGTCACTATAATCAAAACTTATGTAGAAAAGGTATGGGAGCTGGTCTCCGGCTCAGAATAGAACTACTCATCCTGCGACATACAAGACGACTAAGAGATCAGCAAGCTATGAGGATAGGCAGCAGCGGGTATAAAGCGCGGAAATCCTGTCTGCCAAGCGTGGCGAAGCAAAACCCCTCAAAAAACCTCTAGTCCCCGGCGGCCCAGCTATCGACTTCTACGGTAGCGATGGGGCAAGGGTGCTAAAATTAACTCCCGGTAGAGGCCTGGCTACCATAAGCAATACGAAGTCAGTCAGTTGTGACCTATAAGGAACCCGAAACGTTGGTTTGTTTCAACAAAAACCAAAATATACGATTTTAGATCAGAAAAAGTGATCATTATTTGAATTTCATTCTTCTACGGCTTCAATGACAAAGTAACTAAAAATATTATTAATTAATCCTGTACAATGAAACAATGTGCGGGTTTGGGATTAAGAGAATCGTTCTGATTAAGTTCGTTTCACAATTAAATTTCGAATACAGCTGTGTGAGTTTGTAACATTCGACATTTTAAAAATGTAGCGGCCCACAAATATTTGAATTTCGAAATAGAGACGTTCCAATTTCAAATGTTTCATTCAAAAATGGAATTCCATCGACAATGTTTGGTGAGCTGTCAGAGTGCACAATGGTTGATACCTGCGTATATCCTATGTCTGATATTTTTTTTATTTTCATGTTTGGGATTGGGATGTAAAAATAAAAATATTTTAAGCTACCGTTGACATTACTAAACATTGTTGTAAAGTTGTCATGACGATATATGGTTTTGAGTTTAAAAATAAATAAATTTTAGACATAAATTGAGGAGTGTTATAAGACGGAAGAATTTCACGTAATTACGTCCATTATAAATTTTTGTAAGTATGACCTACCTACATGTTTATTTAAGTCTTAATTTCTATGTTTATTATTATTATTTTTATGATACCTAGACAGGCGACACGCCTGTCCATAACAGTTGCAGTGCGCTCAGTGCCTTAAATCGCAAAGATCTGAGAGGCACTGCCGCTGCGTCCATCACCCTGAGACATACATTGACAATTCCCATGGACCTGTAAATCCACCACCCTTCAAAACCGGAACATATTCATGCTCATGTTACTTGGCGGCAGAAATACGTAAGGTGGCAGTACTTCCTTGGACGAACTCTTCATCAAGAAGCTCTACTGCTACTTACTACTTTCTGTTTATTTAGTTATCTCACTGCATAATTTTGAATAATCGACAATATCTATATCTTAAGTTGTACATATCAAAGTTTCACCCTTTAGTAATTCTTTTCTATTGGAAAAACATATTGTTACCACACGTCTATACATTTTCAATTTTGGAACACCAGTTCCATTCACACAGTGGTTCCGACACGAGGTCTCGCCGCAAAAAGTGCCGACCCATTGTGTTCCTGACAAATGGTTACTAGGAAAAGAAAAAATCTATTCAAAATAGTTAATTTAATAGTATGTTCCGATGCGTAAAATTTGTCATAATGCAACCCACTGTGGGCAATTATCACGCCCGGATTGAACGTCTTTGTCATAACTTTCGGTTTTTCACTTTTGTGGGTGTGTTATTTGCCGAATATTCTTTAAAAACATATTTAAAAAGTTAGACTTTACATTTTCTTTACGTCACAAGGCCTATATAAAACGGTACTTGACAGGCGGGATGATGATAGTTGCAAAGATACAATATTATTACTGAGAGACGCAAGAGATAAGGCTCCTTGACACATCCCCTTAGTCTTACTAAAAATATTGTTTCGTTCAGAAACTACCACACTTTCACCACTATATTATTAGTAAGACAAATGCTCTTAATGCTGGCATGGTCGGAAATGGAAATATATAATAAAATTCAAAAATTGACCTTTATAGAAAAATAGAATTTTAAATTCCGAACGCGCGATTTGTCTCTGCCAGCCAGTGCTGCCAACTGCGCAAACATGGCGAATAATTACATCGGAAGGGCGCTAATGTTTGTTTTCTCTACAATGCTGTTTGCTTTGCGATATTATTTATGGCCAGGGCGTTGACAAATAGATGATATTGACGCCTTTTTGTGGGGTGATGAAATGCTCTTTTTTTGAAAAGTCATGTTGCGTTTGCTTACGTCTACGTTTAACTATATTTGTGTAAGTAGGTATGCTTTCAATCGATGAAGCTATTTCAAAAAAGGTATTTAATAAAAATTTGGCCACCAACGTTTTGTTCAAAGTTCCGCGAATATTTTGAAAATTCAAGAATATGTTTTAAACTCAATTTGTTTTTGTCGCAAAAGCATTGACGTGAAAACACTTCAAAACCGCACGCCGCCGATGCTCCAAAAAAAATGCATTTTCGTTACACAATTGAACACCTTTCAAGAGTTTTGCCGCCAAAAACGAAAAATTTCAGCCAGGCAGAAATCCTTTGAAACGAAAAAAATTGTGGTTTGAATATGGAACGTTCAACAGTAGAGCTAGAGTTGGATTTTGACGCTGTGTTTAAAAAAATACGAGATTATAATCTTTCGGATTAGGATAATCTTTTGTTGACAATACTAAGGTGTTTTAGGGAGTACGCTTCTTCCCAGAATTAAGGAATGAAAGTGACAATGTTCAGTTTTTGCAACAAAAACGTGATGAAAGTGGGGATTATGGAATACTTATTTTTATAAAACAATCATGAGTTATTCTTTCGTAAAGTTGTATCTAGGCAAAATCCTGTCCATTTTTCACTCTTGATTTCGATTAGTTTAATATATATCCATATTCATGTATCTTAAACAAACATTTTTTTATCATTTGCCAGAAGAAAATTTTGAGTCTTTTATCAAGCACCATTTCATATGTCTTTTTGTAAGCAAAGAAGTTCACTAAATTTATATAATTATTGAGTTTCTGGCACTTGTTTTAATCTATTAACTAAAGATGAAATGAAAACTTTCTATCTTTACATATTTATACCTAATGTATTTCTAAAACTTACACGTAAGGAAACAGAGGATACAAACATTAAACGGAAACTTTTATAATATTTTATACACTTATTAGATGTCATATGTAATCAATTCTGCTGTTTTCCTTTACTGTAATTTGTTGTCTGAAGAAAAAGTTCGCGATCACTGAGTTTCATTGTTTACGTTCTGTCTAATTAAAAAAAATGGAGTGTGGTTAATGCAAAGTTATATAAAGTATTACAAAGAAAACTGGATTCATCGTTGAATATCTCTTCATCGTTTTTTATCACGACTTATTTACGTTACAACCAAAAAAACTTCATTTTTAGCATTTCTTCGTGTATCATATCATACAAAGCATTTTTTTCATTTTATATATCATCACTTTGATATACCTCGTCAATTCTTTTTTTGGCAACACAAGCGAGATCATAGCCCCCTCAATTTGGCAAAGGCACCTCAGGTAACAACCAGAAGAAATAAACGTGACAAAATGTCGGTAAACATGTACCTACACGTACCTTTACCGGCGTGATTCAAAAAAAGAACTATAGAATTTTGCTATTTGAATCCGGCGCGGATGTGACGAATGTAACATCCATTCAAATTACAAATTTGGAAGGCGTTCCACGTGTTTGACTTTGTTTTTTTTTCTATAAACGCTGCAATAGTGCAGAAAATTCATATTCCGTCCGGGTAATTGAAAAGTGAAGTTATGTTATGATTGAAGCAAAAAATTGAGAAAAAATTCAATTGAAATTACTTCACAATCCATTGATGCGTTCGATATCATGAAAAGAAGTTATTGAATGAATAAGGCGTGAATAATTGTCGCTTTTCTCAGGGTATACAGTCGCAAATTGAATTTTAATTGCGAACAATTTTTTATTGTGACAATTTCAGTTAGCTCACACGAATAATTGAATGTTAAGTAGACTTAATTACGAATGAATTGACAGCCAGGCAGTTTTATCTGTATTTATTGTCGTTAATTTTAGTTTTTATGTAGGCTTAGCTCGAACTATGTCGATATGTCCGGTAAATTAAGTCCATGCAGTCAACATATGGCTTAATCCCGTCTAGAATAATATTTTATTTATTTCTTACTATGTGTAGGTATATATGTAGGATATTGTAAGTCGTTTTAAACGGAACAATAATTCATCAATTATTTATTATAGCGTCAGAGCTTTTCGTAAGGGAAATATGGTGAAAGTGTGCGTGTACAAAGGTAGTCACGGGTTACGGTTACGTTTTTTTTATAAATCCCACTTCTAAGTGTACTGCCTTCTTTAATGACATTTTGCTTATAAGAAGACACGTGTAATAATGTCAGTTTTTATGAGGGCGGCAAAGTCAGACAGAAGGTTTTTCATTTTCCTGAACAAAATTTCAAATTAAATGTTAAATAGCACGGTTTTCCTTTTATTTAAAATGGTAGGTATGTTATTTAGAAGAAAACAATCCTCGTGATTGAGTCTTTCGATAAGTTTAGTAAAATCACAGGTTTTTTTTATGTTTGGCAGGTTCGATTCCCCGTTCAGACAGGCTATTATGAAAAAATCTTTGAATACAGTTCGAATGGTTTTTAAAATCAAAATGTAGTCTTCTTTCGGTTAAATTTTCTATCTACGGTATTTAAGGTATTTTCCCTCAGTGTGACAGCCTATGTAATCTACGCATGTTTAACTATAAACTTACTGGGACCTGTAAAATATCCAAAACATTGATTTGTTTAATATATATAGAAATAAATAAATAAAAATTATTTATTATCGGACAAATTTAGTCGGGGTACGAATTTGATCCTGCCGATTCGATACCTCAAAAACAATAATATATTTTATTGTATTCTATCAAATTTTTTAACTTAGCCATCCAAAGAGAAACGTTGCCAGCTTTATTGTCTGACATTTTTTTCCATTATGGAAATGTAACCTCTGTTGTCTTGTTTCAGAACCCCAAAACCAAAAAAATGCCATCGCAACCCATAATCCCTAACCAGCGGCGATAGCGCACCAACCATGCGAACGCACAGACGAAGGTTGCGGTGATAACCCTCGAGATGGCGTTGCTGACAAACTCGGCCTCCGCTGGCGGCCCCACGGCAACACCGAGCGCACCACAGGCGCACCATTCTACAACACCTTTACACCACTACTTTCACTATTTGAAGCAGCCGTCGCCGTTAGCCCAAAACCCCTACGCTCATCATAGCAGTGCCCACCACATGGGGATGGGCCCAGGTCCTTTGGGTGGACTCGGCCCGTTTGGGTTAACTCCGCATGGATTAGAGGCTGTAGGATTCCCGCAAGGTGAGTTTTTAACCATATATACGTAGAAACAATGCAGGTTAGAGCTTTTTACAGTCTTCTCATCGTATCGGTAGCGTAGACTATACTAATGCGGCCCAGAACTCAGCCACGCTGACCGCGTTATTAGTAACCAACATTAAATCCTCAAGCGTGCAAGTGTCGAGCCACGACGTGTGGTGGGCCATCGATTGAATCATACCTAACGTGATCATTCGTCTCGCTTTGAGCGGGACAGTCCCGCTTTTAAGCTTCTTATCTGCTGTCCCCAAAATATTTAAAAATATCCCAGAACAAAACAAGAACACACGTGACAATAAATAATAAAAAATGGCGCATAAGCCTTAAAATATACAAAGCGCACCAGACTATAAAAGTTCTTTTTTTAAATTTTCGAACATTAAGTATTTTTTTAATCTTTTTTTTATCATTATTCATTAAACTTTTTGTGACTTTCATAAACATGTGTTTTATTTTTAAAACAATAATGAATTCACAGGCGTCCCGCCTAGAAGGGAAAAAATTAATGGTCACGTTAATCATACTGCACCATAGATTACCTTAATAGTTACTAAAACAATCCAGGTTAGAAACATCCGAAAAGCCCCACCTAAACAAATTGTCCTTTCTCCGACCAACTTTAGTCCGAAGCTTATTTATAGAATTCTAGCTCGGCCATGGAAATTCGTGTTTATGAGGAAGAAATTAAAATCAAAAAGTAAGAAATGAAACTATTTTTCCGAATTTAAATCGCGTATATTTGTTTTTTCAAACAAACCGACGTTTCGGGTCCTTTACAGGTCCTATGGTCACGGTTCACTCAGTCAATCGTATCGTAAGGTACTAACTGGGTGTTAAATCTGTCAAAGATTTCTCATAGATGGCGCTACGACTAAAAAGTCGTTGAAAAAACCAATTACAAAGACACGACGCAAGCACATAGAAAAATTCCCGAGGTCCGTTGTTTCGTTCCGTGGCTTAGTTGGTATGGCGTCTGGCACGGTATGCAAGAAGACGTCGGTTCGAATCCGACCTGATCGAAGGAATTTTTTCTGAGTGTTCGATCTTTGTATTAATAATTATAACAAACTAGTGGAGTAATTTCACAAAAAAATAATTGAATACCAATTCAATAAAAATTTTATTAAACTTAAATATTATTGAATACACTTTGGATCAAATTTGTATTTAATCTAAAACTCAACGTTTATTCAGATCCAATATGTTTAGAATTTAAAAAGTCAATGTTTTCTAAACGGCACGCTACACTGAAAAAAAAAACGGATGTTAAAACAAATTCTTAATGATTGAAATCATTCACAAGATGTTTTTTCACAATTACTTTTTTGTTAAATTGTTGCTGCAATCATTGTGCTTGTTGTTACAATCATTGTTCTTGAAACGCTCAGATGAAAACAAGTAACAGTTTCACAGTAAACATCTTGTTTATTTCATTTTTTCTTGTTTATGTATTTCTAGAAGCTTCTAGGAATCATCTTGAAGAACGATTGAACTAGTGTCTAAAACGTATTTGTTCATTCATAAGGCCAGTCACGAAATGTCTCAGTGAATAACATTTTAACTGCTAACCGACAAGTCGTGCACAAATTTCATTTCACCGAAAGGTCATTACGTTTACGCGTTTATTTTGTTGACATTTCGCCGACTTTGTTTATAATGTGTGTTACGTGGACATACTTTGTTTTCGGTTATTAAATTTGAGACCTACTTAAATATATTTTTACGTTTATTGTGAGGCGACATCATCATCCTGTTGTAATTACTTAGTTTTCTTTACACGTTTTCACTGGATTATTATGGGTAGCACCTCTGAGTTAACATTTCATACCCTAGGTCTTAGAATAATAACGCATAGAAACCTAGTCCGCACACGCTAAGTGATGCAAATTGAAGCGCGCCAAAAAGGCCTACACGAGCAGGCGGGCCTTCAGTGCTCAAGGTCAACTTGCACCGCGAACAGATCAAGAATTTTAGCTAAAAATGACGAAATATGCGGTAAATGAGTGTAAAAATACGTCAGACAAAACATAAAATAGATACTAACATCACATTCCACAGTAACGCGTTTCAACTTGTATTTTTATATAAATATTTACTAAAACCGAAAATTAACCTACTACTAAAACTAGCCTACATGAATTTGATTTTTGCCTCTCTCGTGACAGTTCGTTTGATATGAAACTATCATTCTATGCGTTATTATTCTAAGCCCTAGGTATAATAAAGTCACATGTGATAATACGTCAAAATTGCTTTTATCACATGTAAGCCATGAAAATAATGCGAATTTCATGAAACTAATTATGCACACGTGAAATTTTAAAACTTAATTTGATAATTTTCTTACAAAAGACATTAACGAGTGTGTTGAAATACGGCATTTTGCGATGATATTTGTAAGAACACCATCTATCGTATAGTAGTTAGTAGCAGTAGAGCTCCTTGCCCATTTCGGCCGCCAAGCAGTGGTATCAGCATTATTATGTTCCGGTTTTGAAAGGTAAAGGTGCTGATATAATTACAGGCACATGGGACTAAACAAACGGAATCAAATTTCATCGGTAATTAAGTATTAAATATGCAATTTTGCAATTTAAGTCCATTATCGCAAAGCCCAAGTTAACTGGTCGATTTGAAGTGAAACAATTGACGACATCCATTGACACTCGTTCATTATTTCGAATTCGGGCTGGCCAATCGGAGCGCAGTTGTCACAGTAATGATATGGCAGAACCGTTTTCAAAAAAATTAAAAGACATTTCGTCTCTGTTTCTGGTTATACCTATACTCGATGGTTATGGTTCAATTGCCTGGAAGGGCACACCACGTCGCCTTTTGCAGTAATCGTTCGGTACTTGAACCCAAGGATCTTTTCCACTAGACCCACACTGTCAATATTATTTCTTAAAATATTTAAAAACATGTTCAACAACGACCAAGGCACCTAAATAAATAAAGAGTAATAAAAAGAAAAAGCTATAGACTAATTTTCTTCGCCGAAATTTCAAACCTCTGTCCTAAAAATACGTCATTTTGTTAATATGGCCTTGTTACACCATAAGTGTAATCGCATACAGGGAATTCTCTAGTTTGAGAACAGGCATTACAATTGTTCTAGTAAAAGAGAGAATTGAATTTTATTTGTTCACTGTATATTGAGCATTCAGGGTGGTGTCAATTGAGATTGTGCATCCGCATGCTGTTCTTGGTAGGTAGCGAAAAGGAGTGCCTAATCCGATCTCTTCGCAGAAAAACCATTTTGAATGACCAACGTCTTGTTGCCGATATCTTTTTAACATCTATTGTATTATGGAAGTCATTTGTTCTTTTTTCAAATCTTAATTTCAAATTAATTTGTGGCCTCTAACAAATAACAACTTCCAATGATTTTCCAAAAATGAAAAACCGCAAACGCTACCAACTTAACGAAACAAAACATCAAAACTCAAGTTTGGTACTAATTAAAGCAACTAACAAGCGAGGACTTCCGTTTCCACATTTCGGGGGTAGCATGGCAACACTGCGTCCCCAAAGAGGGGGTATAAGCGGCTTATGGGGGAGGGCCGGGCTGTTTTGATTATTTCGAAGGATGTCTTCTTGCTACGTAAATTATGCAATGCTTTTCGGCTCTAGTTGTTTTGATGTTGGTGCCGTCAGGTTGGTACCTATAATGGTTGCGTTGCTTATATTGGTGCAGATACTTTTTGTCTTCACTATGTAAGAAGAATTAATTTATATTTGAAACGGGGATTACATTATTTTCATTGAATGCTAAATTCAAAATTTAAAAACATTTTTATTTCACAGGTAAATAAATTACACTGGAACCCTATTACTATTTGTAGAATGTGTTATCACTAATAATTACGTGGTCTTGTCGATTATACCGGTCTAACCACACGAATGCCTCTGTCACTGACCCTCTTGTCGCCATTTTACTTTGTCCATATTACACAAATCAATTCGGCAATAATTATTCTTCAAATTGATATTTTGTAATTTACATTAGCGTGACGAATTTAGAATTAAAAGATGTATGTAAATTGCTTGTGCCTACAATTTATACATATGACAATGTACACAGCGGATAGAAAGCAAAACAAACAATGCTAACGTTGTTGCTTATTGTTTTTTTAAAAATCATAATACTTGCCAAATTACTTTAATCGATATGACACAAATCCATTCGACAACGAATTATTCTACAAATTGGTATTTTGTAATTCATATTAGGGTGACAAATTTAGAATTAATTAATAATAATTAGAAAAATGTACATAAATTGCTTGTAGTGGATTGAAAGTTAACAAATAATGCTATAATAATGTTGTTCCTTATCGCTTATTAAAAAAAAAGCAAACAGGTAGCCAGTCGTCACTACCTGATTGGTTTATTGAATTCCAAATTCAAAATATTTAAAATGTCTATTACTTCCTCGACTTGCCTATGGTAATTTAATAACAATATCAGGACCTACAATATTGTGAACGGCATGCAGCTGTATAGCTATAGCCGTCTATTGTGACGTATTGCACCAAAAGTGTAATAACGCCACATGTGCAAAATGAACTTTTTATGTAATAAGTCGTAATTTAAACGCGGTTGTTTGGGTTAATAATACCAGGTGACGGGACAAACAAGTCGTGCGCCTGGTGGTCAGCGACGCGTCTATTCATAAGAGGGACACTGCCATTGCGCCCGTCACCCTGAGACATAAGTTGACAAGTCCCATGTGCCTGTAGCTTTGCTGCAATGCTTACATTACTGCTTGGCTACAGAAACAGTTAAGGTGGCAGTACTTCCTTGGACGAATTCTTTCACAAGGAACTCTACTGCTGCTTACCCACTTCTCGTTAACTAAAAGTAGTTAATAACTACTCCAAATTTTTGTTTTAAGTATAGTCTTTCAGTCAAACTTACTTAAAACGACGACTATATCGACACATCCGTAGAACAAAGGTCTATGTGTAAGACTACTTGTT